CGCGGGCGGCACGCCGGAGCCCGGCGCGGAGAGGGCCTCTTCGGGGCTGCTCGGCGAGAGCGGCACGGCGGCCGCGGCGGCGGGAGGCGGCAACGACTCCGGCGACGGCGACCGCCGACGAGCAGCGAGGGCCACCGAAGCCCGGCGGGGTGAGGGCCCCTCGGGCTGCTCAGCGGGGGCGGCGCGGCGACGCCGTGCTGGCGGCAACGACTGCGGCGGCGCCGACGAGCAGCCCCGAGATCCGGGCGCGGCATTTTTTTTTTCACGCTGGGCGTCTTCGCCTGGCTTCGGACGCCGGGGGCCAGCACGGATCGGCTCGCGGCTTGAACAGGTGGTGCAGGCAGACGTGGCCTCGGGCTCCAGTCGTGGCTTTGTGGCGATGCTGCATGTATTTCGCAGCATCGGATCCCGAGGAGCAGCGAGGGCGTCGACGAGGCGCCGACGGGATGCCCCAATGAGCGGGCCACGCCAGAGGAAGGCACGACGAGGAGGACGGGCACGTCGTCGTCGTCGTCGTCGTCGTCGTCGTCGGAGTCGTCGTCGCCGTCGTCGTCGTAAACGGCGTCGGCGTCGGCATTGGTGTCGTCGTCGTCGTCGTCGGAGTCGGCGTCGTCGGCGTAGTCGGCGTCGTCGGCGTTGTCGACGGCACCATCGTCGGCGTCGTCGTCGTCGGTGCCGTCGTAGGCATCGTCGGGGTCGGCGCCGTCGTCGGCGTCGTCGTTCGTCGGCGTCGTCGTTCGTCGGCGCCGTCGTCGTCGTCGACGGCGCCGGCGTCGGCGTCGTCGTCGTCGGCGTCGTCGTCGGCGTCGTCGTCGGCGCCGTCGTCGTCGTCGTCGACGGCTCCGTCGTCAGCGTCGTCTTCGGCGCAGTCGTCGTCGTCGTCGACGGCGCCGTCGTCGGCGCCGTCGTCGTCGGCGCCGTCGTCGGCGTCGTCGGGTTCGTCGTCGGCGTCTTCGTCGGCGGCGTCGTCGGCGTCGGCGTCGGCGTCGGCGTCGGCGTCGGCGTCGACGGCGCCGCCGCCGTCGTCGTCGTCGTCGTGTCGTCGTCGTCGTCGTCGTCGTCGTCGTCGTCATCGTCGACGGGTCGTCGGCGTCGTCGTCGTCGTCGTCGTTGTCGTCGTCGTCGTCGTCGTCGTCGTCGTCGTCGTCGTCGTCGGCGCCGTCGTCGACGGCGCCATCGTCGGCGTCGTCGTCGGCGCCGTCGTAGACGTCGTCGTCGTCGGCGTCGTCGTCGACGGCGCCGCCGTTAGCGGCGCCGTCGTCGGCGCCGTCGTAGGCGTCGTCGTCGTCGGCGTCGTCGTCGTCGTCGACGGCGCCGTCGTCGGCGTCGGCGCTGGCATGGCGTCGTCGTCGTCGCGCCGTCGTCGTCGAGCTTGTCGTCGTCGTCGTCATCGTCGGCGTCGTCGTCGGCGCCGTCGTCGCGTCGGCGCATCGGACGTCGGCGTCGTCGGCGTCGCGTCGGCGTCGTCGGCGTCGGCGTCGGCGTCGGCGTCGCGGGCGTCGGCGTCGGCGCGTCGTCGTCGTCGTCGTCGTCGTCGTAGGCGTCGTCGGCGTCGGCGTAGGCGTCGGCGTCGGGCCGCCGTCGTCGCGGCGCGCCGCCGCCGCCGTCGTCGTCGTCGTCGTCGTCGTCGACGACGGCGCCGTCGTTGGGGCGCCGTCGGCGCCGTCGTCGTCGTCGTCGTCGTCGTCGTCGTCGTCGTCGTCGTCGTCGTCGTCGTCGTCGTCGGCGCCGTCGTCGTCGTCGTCGTCGTCGTCGTGGTCGTCGTCGTCGTCGTCGTCGTCATTGTCGTTGAGGGCGCCGCCTCGGTAACCTAAGATAAACCCGCCAGTGCCGCCAAGGCAAAATGGGAGAGCCGGCTGAAGTGCCTGAGGTGGAATCCACCCACCCCACCCTACGCAACTCGTCAGGACAGAGCTGAGGGGGAGCAAATCTTTTCTCAACTTTCGACTCCTTAGGACCATGGCCTTTACCCCATAACTTGCCGGAGCGATCCCCGTCGGCCTTCAGCAGAGAAACAGGGTCAGCTCGGATCTGGACCCCCGCAGGATAGCGCGGCGGCGTTGTCCAGAGGGCGCGGCCAATAATGATGGCGCGAGCCCTCCTTCCGCCCAAATCTATGAGTTCAAATCACCATTCCTTCCGAACGCCCTTGCTGGCAGCGGTGGAGTCCTTCTTCGCCTTAGTGACCGCGGGAACCTCACATCTTCTATCAAGGGCTGCTCGCAGTCGGTGATGAGTTCGCCGATGTCGCGCAACTCGGGGGCGGCCAGCGCTACCGAGGCCGCGGCGCGCCTGAGAAGATGGGGATGAGCCTCGGCGGTCCCCGCGGCCCAATGAGGTGGGCCGCCCGGGGATTCAGCGCACAGTGGCCACCGGCCTCGAACATGGAGTCCCGCGGCGGGCCTCGAGTTCAGCAAGGAGGGCTCTCACCTGGGGCTTTCATCAAAGCGGACCTCTGAGCGCGGGGTCCTTTGGGGGGGCATGTTGGGCTCAACGCCCCCCCCCCTGGAAGCGTCTGGACAGGCCGGCCGCGGGGCCCACGCGCATGGAGCTCGGCGCCATCTTACTACTCGGCCTGGTCAGCCCAGATGGATCCCTTCGCTGAAGGCCCTGGCGCTCCTTCGCCATCCCCTCTAGACGCCCCGCATTTGGCTTGCTCCACCACGTCGGAAACCCAGACCCAACAAGCGTCGTCCTCCTTTGGCGACGGACCCACCATCAGAGAAACCGGCGGACGAGGAGGCCTTCGAAACGCCAGCCCCTCCAGGCAGAGAAGCCGAGCATGGAAACGCAAGCAGGCAGGCCGACGGGGGTGCAGCGAGCCACCATTGACGACGCCGATGCCGCCAATTCCTTCGCCGAGCCCGTCAGAGACCGCAGGGAAACCAATGCGTCGGGGGCGCCCGCGGAAGGGAAGTAGGTGTGCTGGCCAGTGCGCACCAGTCTTGCCTTCGGACACGTGCCTGGAAGCCTGACTGTCGCGGGAGCTTCGGCTCGAAGCTGACATCTCCCGCGGCGACGAGCTCGCAGCCCAACGCGCCGGGGCGCTCCCCCGGCTCCGACGCGCTGCCCAGCTCGGCGGCACTCCTGCCCGCGGCGTGCTCCGGGTGCAGCGGGGCGGTGCAGATGGGGGGGGGGCGCAGGGGCGCGCGCCGTGCAGGCGAGCGCACGGCCCACTGTCTGGCCACGCGCAGAAGGGGGCAGGGGGAGGGGGGAAGGCTGCTTAGAAGCACCCCTGCCTCTTCGAAGGCGCGGGCCTTCTCTGTAGATGTAAGGCCGGCGCCTTCTAAGAACCAGCCTCCTTCTAAGAAGTCTTCCCCCCTCCCCCTATCCCCTTGTGCGCGCCGCCAGACTGTGCAGCCCGCCTCCCTCGATCAGGGGGAGTCCGAGCCGCTCGACGGCCGGAGCAGCAGGTCCACAGCAATCGCCTCCCCGGAGGCCTCTAGTGCCTGGCGCCCAAGCGGATCTCCACAGCCCTGCTTCGGCGCGGGGGCCTCCCGGTGCGTGAGCTTTCTGCTCCTGGCAGATCAAGATCTGCGCATCAGGGTCCGAGTCCAGGAGGTCCAAGAGCGTGCCCCAACCATTGCAGTTTACCGTCCGGCAGGCAAACGCAACTTTTTCGCCCTGGCGAGCTCTGGGGGCATTGGCCCCTGGCGCGAGAGGCTGGGCCTGGGGCGCCAGAGGCACTGGCCAGGATTTGATGCGAGCTGGGAAGAGGTCAGGACACAAGTCCTTCGCCCTCGTGCTGGCATGCTTTGAACACTGCGTGTGCGCTGGAAACCTATCTTTGTGGTCCAGCCAAGAGCAGAGTTCTAGAGCGGCTTTGACCGGCACCAGCGCAAACCTTTGAGCTGGAGCAGTGCTCTCCGAAGAGCTCCAGCGAAGTCCTGGGGCGCAGAGGTGCCTCTGTGCCCGCGAGGCCAGCGAGGGGTGATGCGGGCCGCGACGGGCCCGAGCGAGCCCCGGAGTCCCAGCGGGGCCCGGCATTCGGAGGCCAGGAGACATGCGGCATCAATTTTATGCACAAGAACTGCCACCATCCAGAGGTCCAGAGGAGGAGGAGGAGGAGGAGGAGGAGGAGGAGGAGGAGGAGGAGGAGGAGGAGGAGGAGGAGGAGGGGGAGGAGGAGGAGGAGGGAAGACCCCCCAGAGCCTGGGGGCGGCCCAGAGTCTGAACAGCACTTTTTCCAGATCGCATGGCCTGCTCTGGCAGAAGGTGGGCACGTCCCCTGGGGCAGGGCGGGGCTCACGCACGCTCCCCAGATCGCACCCCTTGGGGGAGGGGCGGGCTCCCCGGGGCCCCCGCCATGGGCCCAGAGAGCGAAGAGGACCGGGCTGCCCGATGGGCCGCTCGCAGGCCAGACCCGAGAGCCTGAGAGGGACCAACACGAGTCTGAGACCCTCCCTGATACGGTCGAGGCGTTGACCTAAGGAGCCCTAGATAGGGAACGAGGCCCCCTTTTTTCTCCATGAATTGAACTTCGACTTCCCATCGAAAACTTTGGAAAACCCTGGGCATGGTGTGGAACAGTTCAGGAACACCGAGTCCCTCCCCAACGAAAGGGGTTCCTTCTTCAGCGCCCCGACTTTACTGCGATAATGAAAACTTCAAGAGGGGTGCGGGTCCCAGGCAATGCCTGGCCGTTCCTCAGGATATATCGCCAACGCCAATGGCGAAGGTGGTGAACGTGAGCTCACCCGCTCTCTCCACCCGATCCCTGCAACGGTCCCATCAGGAGGCAACCTCTCGGAATCTCAGCTGGAGGGGGCAGCCTTCTTTGGGACTGGGCAGGGGGGCAGCCAGGGACAAAGAGCAGGAGTAGCCGAGGTAGACCAGGCCCCACCAACCATCGAGGATGCCGAACTTCAACTGGAAATAGCGCTGTACCCCTCGTCAAACAGCTGCGCTGTCTGAGGTGGTACTTCCTCAAACAGTTCTTGTTCAACCAAACTGCGATTGTCTGGGGCTTGCTTAGGCTGACTGGACATGTTGAGCGAACTGCCTTGTCACCTCCATGCTCGACCTCCCGCGCAGAACTTCCCGAACCCGCTGAATCAACTGCAACCAGTCCGTCATCTGAGAATACTGGGGCAACCTCACCGTCATGTGTCTTCCTCTTCTGGTGCAACCGTGATCTGTGTCTCTCATGTGCCAAGTTAACTCCCTCTGAAGTTTTACCCTGGGACAGCTGCAAAGACAACTACATGATACTGCTCGCCATCGTAGCTTTACGTGACTCCAGCTCCTTGCGGTCGGCGTCGGTCATACTCCTCAACCTCCTTCTCAGCATCATACAAGGAGTCGAATGAACACCGCGTCGAAGAAAGCCTTGCCACCAATGACATCGCGCAGGTCGAGCATGTTTTTTTTGGGGATGGTCCTGGGGCTGTGGGGGGGAGGGACTTGGACCGAAAGCTCCTTGACAACGACTGCGTGTGTGTATTATCTGCCTGGTCCAAATCCTGCTTGGGCTGAGCCACCAAGTAACACTGCTGGTGAGCGTTTTTTTATTAGGCGTTTCGACATTGGGAGGAAGGGGGGGGGTGAGAGGGGGGTCTGGCTCCAGACCTCTGCTTAGTGCGACTGTTGAGACCCCACCCGCTCGAAACAGACGCCAAAACAGCCAATATCTACCCCATGGGAGGGGGGAGGAGGGGGCGTGAGGGGCCCGCGCCGATCGGCAAAACAACGAATAGAAACCGATCACCTGTTCGTGTTTGAGTTCGTCCTTCCCCAGTGTGAGTTTGGCAAATTCCTGGCGTCGGCATCGATCGCGCCCTTGGGGGAGCCGGGGGACCAGCTGCGGGCCGACGGGGCGGCCGCGCCTCAGATGGCTTCTCCGTGGCGAAGTAAAAAAAAACAATCACGTCTTCCTTTTCATTCCTCGTCTCCCTCCTCCTCCTCGATCAGGGCCTCGAGCAGGAGGAGGGGTGGATGGATGGAGGGAAGGATGGCCCAGATCTCCCAAGAACCCCAACAACCCACTCACTCCTTCTCGGTCCTTCTCCTGTTCATCATGTTTACACACATCTGTATACATATGCATGTATAGACGTACATATGTATGTATGTATGTATGTATGTATGTATGTATGTATGTATGTATGTATGTATGTATGTACATATATATATATATATATATATATATGTATATATGTATGTATATATATATGTATATACACATGTCGGTCACAGCGCGAGGAAGTCTGGTTTTCTGGTCATGACTCGGGCTTCTGGTGGCCGATCTGGACGATCCGGGCATCCCCCGAAAACTCTGAACGTTGCGCAGCTGCTGGATCGCATCCCGGAGCAGAAAGGCGAACACGCCCGACGGCACCCTCTTCGCCCCCTGCTCATCCTCCTGCTCCTGCTCCTGCGCCTCACCCTCATCAATCAACAGTATCAGCATCGTCATCAGCGCCATCCTCCTTCTCCTCGTCCTCCTCCTCAGGCGGGGAGCACCGGGCCTTCGGGGTCCAAGCCCCCGCGCCCGGGCTTTCCTTCCCGGGGGGCTGCCAGGTCCCGTGGCCTCCCACAGGGCGGTGCGGGAGCTCACTCCCCGCACTCGCCGCCTTGGGGCGGGACTGGCGGTCCTTCTCCCCGTCGTGTCGTGTCGTTGTCGTTGTCGTCGTTGTCGTTTCGTGGGTCCCGGGGTCCGGGCCCTTTTTTTGCCCTGCCCCTTGGGCGTGCGGGTGGCCCTGCCCGATCGGCTTCCCCCTTCGTGGGGGCGGCTCCGTTCGGTTCGGGCCTCCCGCCTGCCCGTGGGGCGGGGCCTTTTCCCCGTCCCGCGCGGGCGGTCTCGCCCGTTGCCCGCGTGGGTGGGGCGCCGCGGCCGCGCCGCGCGGCCGCGCGCGACGGCTCCGCGCGGCCGATGCGCGGGCGGGCTGGCGGCGGCACCGCAAACAAACAAATCCTCCTCCTCCTCCTCCTCCTCCTTCTTGCTGGCCACCAGCAGGAGGGGCGAAGGGGGGCCTCGAGCAGGGGGACGGCCTCGAGCAGGAGGAGGGGGGTGCCTGGTCCCCGAGGCGCGGGTTGCCCGACAGGTCCAGGAGCCGCAGGGGGGCCGCGCGGTGCTGCGCGAAGAGGCGGGCGCGCGACCGCAGCAGCGCGCGGACCAGGCAGACGTCGGTGAGCCTCGTCGGTGCGCGCCCAAAAGGAGCCTCGTCGTCGTCGCCGTCGTCGCCGCCGTCGTCGCCGCCGTCGTCGTCGTTGTCATCGTCGTCGTCGTCACCGTCACCGTCGCCGTCGCCGTCGCTATCGCAGTCGCCGTCGCCGTCGCCGACGCCGTTGTGGTCGTCCTGGTTGTCGTCGTCGTCGTTGTTGTCGTCGCCCGATGTTGTTCATTTCTCTGAACAGTGCTTGTACTTAGGTTTTCTTACTTGTCTTCAAAGGAACTGGGCTGGTGTGTCGGTCTGGCGGGTACGTTGCCGCCGTCGCCGTCCCGTCGAGACTTCGTCGCTGGCCGTCGGCTGGGCATGTGTGTCGGTCTGGCGGCTGTGTTGCCGCCGTCGCCGCCCCGTCGTCGCTTCGTCGCTGCCCCGTCGCCGCAGCATAGGTTGCACCGCATACATTGCACAACAATGATTGCACCACAGGGGTTCCAAAACATAGATGTCCCCACAGCGATTGCACAACACAGGCTACAGCACATACATTGCACCACGTACATTGCAGCACATGGATTTCACCACGCAGATGGCATAACAAATATTGCGCAAAATCGATTGCAGACCGTGTATCTCGCCACATATATTGCACAACATATATGGCCAACCATATACGATACACCACACATGTTGCACCACATAGATTGCACACCATCTATTGCTCAACATAGATTGCACACTACATACTGCACACCATTGATTGCACCACATAGGTAGCAGCAACACATCTATTGCTCCACCAATTCTGCATTACATAGGTTGCCCCAAATGTGTTGCGCCCCATGAGTTGCACACCATATAAGGCACCACGTAGATTGTACAATGTAGGTTGCAACACGTATGTTGCACCACATGAATTGCGCATCAAAAACACAGCGCTACACAGACCGTGTATCATACATTCTGCGCAACATCGACTGCACAACATATATTGCATACAATAGATTGCACACCGTAGCGTGCACATCATATGTTGCATATGGCACCACATAAATTGCACCACAACCCGTACTACTGCACACATATTGCAGCACACACGCACGCGCACACACACACACACACATATATATATATACATACGATTGCCCACATATATAACAGGTTGCTCAACAAAGCTTGTCACACACATTATGTATGTATGTGTATATATATATACACTAGAACCACGCGCGCGCTTCGCGCGCGCTTAGGTTCTGTCGAGTCACAGACCCAGGAATCGTTGCGAGAAGAAATTGGTGACGCGAAGCGTCTTGGGGGCGTCCTTGGACGTCCGGGGTCTCCTGGGGCCTCTTGAGGGGCCTCCTTGGGGCCTTCTTGGGCTCCATCTGGAAGCCAAGATGGATGCAACAAGAGGGTGCTTGGGCTCTCCGTGAGCTATCCTCTGGTTTTCATTCCCCTGGAGAGGAGAAGGAGGAGGAGGAGGAGGAGGAGGAGGAGGAGGAGGAGGATGAGAAGGAGGAGGAGGAGGAAGATGCAGAGGAGGGAGGAGGAGGAAGGAGAGGAGATGTTGGGGCGCTCTTGGGGCCCTCTTGGGCTCTGTTGGGGTTCGTCGGGGCCCTCGTGGGGCCACCTTGGGCTCCTCTCGGAGCTCCAAGAGGAGCCCACAGAGGGGCCCAACATCGGTCACGCGAGAGCTCTTTCGCGTGACCGATGTTGGGGCCCTCTTGGGGCCCTATTGGGCCTCCTTGGGCCCTCTTGGGGTCTCGACGGGGCCCTCGTGGGGCCATCTTGGGCTCCTCTCGGAGCACCAAGAGGAGCCCAAAGAGGGGGCCCAACATCGGTCACGCGAGAACTCTTCCGCGTGACCGATGTTGGGGCCATCTTGGGGTTCCTTGGGCCTCCTTGGGCCCACGTGGGGCTCCCTCGGGGCCCTCGTGGGGCCATCTTGGGCCCCTCTTGGAGCTCCAAGAGGAGCCCAAAGAGGGGCTCAACATCGGTCACGCGAGGGCTCTTCCGCGTGACCTATGCTGGGGCTCTCTTGGGTCCCTCTTGGGCCTGCTTGGGTCCTCTTGGGGTCTCGTCGGGGCCCTCGTGGGGCCATCTTTGGCTCCTCTCGGAGCTCCAAGAGGAGCCCACAGAGGGGCCCAACATCGGTCACGCGAGAGCTCTTCCGCGTGACCGATGTTGGGGCTCTCTTGGGGCTCTCTTGGGTCCCTCTTGGGCCTCCTTGGGCCCACGTGGGGTTCCCTCGGGGCGCCCTCTTGGGCCTGTCTTGGGGCCCTCTTGGGCCATCTTGGGCGCCTCTTGGGCCGTCTTGGGGCCCTCTTGGGCTGTCCTGGGGCCCTCTTGGAAGCTTCTTGGGCCGTCTTGGGGCGGTCTTGGGCGCCTCTTGGGCCGTCCTGTAACGTCGGAAAGCCCAAAAGACAACTTTGTTGAAAATGTACGTTTTACGAGGGAATGGGCCAATTTTTGCATCTAGGGGCCCTCTTGGGACGCATGTTGGAGGCTTCTTGGGGCCTCTTGGGGGCGTCCTTGGACGTCTGGGGTCTCCTGGGGCCTCTTGAGGGGCCTCCTGGGGGCCTCCTGGCGGCCTCTTGGGGCGGAAGGCTCGAGCTTGCGGTTCGTGGTCCCCCTCTGGGCCCCCTCTTGGGCCCGTCTTGGGGCCCTCTTGGGCCATCTTGGGCGCCTCTTGGGCCGTCTTGGGGCCCTCTTGGGCTGTCCTGGGGCCCTCTGGGAAACTTCTTGGGCGGTCTTGGGGCGGTCTTGGGCGCCTCTTGGGCCGTCCTGTAACGTCGGAAAGCCCAAAAGGCGACTTTGTTAAAAATGTACGTTTTACGAAGGGAATGGGCCAATTCTTGCGTCTAGGGGCCCTCTTGGGACGCATGTTGGAGGCTTCTTGGAGCCTCTTGGGGGCGTCCTTGGACGTCTGGGGTCTCCTGGGGCCTCTTGAGGGGCCTCCTGGGGGCCTCCTGGCGGCCTCTTGGGGCGGAAGGCTCGAGCTTGCGGTTCGTGGTCCCCCTCTGGGCCCCCTCTTGGGCCCGTCTTGGGGCCCTCTTGGGCCATCTTGGGCGCCTCTTGGGCCGTTTTGGGGCCCTCTTGGGCTGTCCTGGGGCACTCTTGGGAGCTTCTTGGGCCGTCTTGGGGCGGTCTTGGGCGCCTCTTGGGCCGTCCTGTAACGTCGGAAAGCCCAAAAGGCAACTTTGTTGAAAATGTACGTTTTACGAAGGGAATGGGCCAATTCTTGCGTCTAGGGGCCCTCTTGGGACGCATGTTGGAGGCTTCTTGGGGCGTCTTGGGGGGCGTCCTTGGACGTCTGGAGGCCATCTTCAGCATCTCGGAGCCCTCTTGGAGGCCTCTTGGAAGTTTCTTGGGCCGTCTTGGGCGTTTCTGGGGCCGTCTTGTCTGACCGGGGAGGCCTCCGGCAAGCCCCGACGAGCCTCCGGGCCCCCCGGGGTGCACATTTGCGGTCGAGGTCCCGGCCCCGGGCCCCCGGACCCGGTGCGCCGTTATATGTATATGACGCATCACATACATGGGCAACGCAAGCTGCACAACGCAGACAGCACTACATACCTTGCACGTTGCATATTGCGCCGTAGGGGTTGCACATCATCCATCTATGTAGAGGTGTATATACGTATATGTATTGCTCTGCATATCTAGCACACCATACAATTAACAACATATTTGAAACATCGTATGTCACATCATAATCTGCAATATCAGTTGCACCCCATATTGCTCAGCATAGATAACACCACATGAGTTGATATAAGCATGCTGTTGGTCGTCGCTGTCGTCGCTGTCGTCGTCGTCGTCGTCGTTCGAAGATACTATGTTTTTATCGTTTCGGGGCCTCTTGCGTCTCCCAAGGGCGCCCTCGCGAGCACGGCTGCATCCGCCTCGAAATAATGGCCACAGCGCACCCCAGGATAGGTCCAGGGGTGGGTCGTCGTCGCCGTCGCCGTCGCCGTCGCCGTCGCGGTCGGCGTCGCCGACGCCGTCGCCGCCGTAGTCGTCGTCCGAAGATAGCCTGTTTTCAGCGTTTGGGCCCCCTTGAGCCTCCCTTGGGCGCCTTCGCGGACACGGCTGGATCCGCCTCGACATCATGGCCAGAAACGCGCCCCAGGACAAGTCCAAGGGTGCGTCGTCGTCGTCGTCGTCGTCGTCCTCGTCGTCGTCGTCCTCGTCGGGTCGTCTGCCGACGCCATGACTTTTTCAACCGCCGTTCTCCCAGATTTCGGCATCTGGGGTCTATTTTCCGGGCCTCAGGACCGTCAACAATTGTTTCGAGTCAAAAAACTACACCTGGGAAGCAGTCGGGACTTCTGGGGCCGCGGATTGACAAATCAGATTGAAGGATGTCAGGAAAAGGGGGGGCGTCGTCGTCATCGTCGTCGTGGTCGTGGTCGTGGTGGTGGTGGTGGTCGTCGTCGTCGTCGTCGTCGTTGTGGTGATGGTAGTGGTCGTCGGGTCGTCGGCTGACGTCGATGAACCCCGTCGCCGTCGAGGTGGGAGAAGAAGGTCTTCTCCTCCTGCTTATCCTGGTCTCCTCGTCGTCGTCGTCGTTCTCCTCCCCCACCTCCTCGTCCTCCTTCGGCTTCTCCTCGTCCTCTTTCTGCTCTTTTTTTTTTTTCCTCTCTTCGTCGTCGTAGGGTCGTCGGCCGATGTCGGTGAGACTCGTTGTCGTCGGTCGCTAGGGTGCCCGACATGCGAGCCACGGCAGGGGGATCCATCAGCACATTCATTGCCACATCCCAAAACGCCCTCGCAACGGGCTCAACCACGCCTCGCGCACACAAATCCGCAGGGAAGGTCACAAAACAGCACCCTGGTGCCAGAGGCCACCGGAAGAAACGATAGCCGTCCGCAAGACACACCGACAGAACGAGGGGAAGAGAGGTGAGGAGGAGAGGGGAATGGGAAATGGGGGCGACATGGGGCGCTGGCGCCAGGCCAGGAGTCGAAGGCGCCATCGGCGGCAGGCGACGGCGGGATTGAGGAAGAGGAGGGGGGGCGGGGGAAGTGGACCGGGGAGGGAGGGCAGCGGGGATGCGGGAGGGGGCTCGTTTTCCACCACCACCACCATCAGAAGTAGGAGGGGTAAGGGGTCCTCCTCCTCTTCCCCCTCCCCTTCCCCCTCCTCCTCCTCCTCCTCCTCCTCCTCCTCCTCCTCCTCCTCCTCCTCCTCCTCCTCTTCCCTCCTCCTTGCCCCGAGGGTGGGGGCCTGGCACCTGTTCTCATGGTGTTAGCGCCACACACTCCTCGGGGCACACCGTCAGTGTCAATTGCATGCGGCGGCTGGAGGCAGATAGACTGGCTTTCGTCGTTCTTGCACCAGCCATGTGGCACTTTGCCCGTGGCAGCGGCGCGTTAGCTGCGCCCGTGACCTGG